AGCCTAGGCTGTCCTTGAATTTAGGATTTCCCTGCCCCGACATGAGGGCTGGATTATGTGTGTGCACCACTACACTTGGCTTCACTTGGAATTTCAGAGAAACGGTGAATATATTGCCAATGTTGTTACACGGGAATATACTTCTGCTAAAACAGAATCTAATGATTTTTTGGAAATCCAGATTGCATTGGGCTTCATGTATTTTATTCACCATGACTGGAGCTTTCCCTTCAACAGCAAAACCCAGTGGGGGTGTGGCCCTGCATTCCCAGAGCCTGGATGTCCAGGTCCCAGTCTCCTCCCCTCCCTCCAAGTGTGCCTGGCACCCCAGCCCCCTGCCCCCTCAGGACACGAGTCAGGTGTCCCAACTCATCTCTCCCCGGAATTCAGGCATCCACGTTTGGGCCCAGTTGCCCAACATGAGTTTCACAAGCCAGACAGGTTATGCCGCCCATGGCCCTGGTGGAACCAGTCTGGCTGAGAGAGCAAGTGGGGGCCCCCCTTTCCATCCTAAGCCTGCTGTTTCCGTGAGGACCAACCCAGCAGAACAGGAGGGACTTGGGGAGCTTTAGGTGTGCCACCCACTGCCTGGTTTGGGTGTGTTGTGTCTCTCTGTGTGGTTATGTGACTGTATGTGACGTTTAAAAAGAACTCTTTTAGGCAGGATTTTTTTCTTTTCTTTTTGTTTTCAAAACATTCTGATTGCAGTCTCCCTCCCTTCCACTCCTCCCAGTCCCCATCACCCCCCAGATCCGCTCCTCCTCTTTCCCTTCAGAAAAGAGTAGGCCTCCCGGGGATATCAGTCAAACACCATACAAGGTACAATAAGACTGGGCACAAACCCTCAGATCAAGGCTCGACAAGGCAAACCAGCAGGAGGAAAAGGGTCCCACGAGTCAGAGACACCCCCACCCCCACTGTCAGGAGCCCCACAGAAACATTCAGCTAATAACCATGACATGTATGCAGAGGACCTGGAGCAGACCCCTGCAGGCTCTGTGATTGCCACTCTGTGAGCCCCTACCAGCCCTGCTTAGTTGATTCTGTGCGTTACCTCGTGTATCCCAGGCTTGTCTTAAACCCACCCGTGTGGCTTGAGCATACTAGGTAGTCTGAGCTGGCAATAGGTTTCCTGCTTCAGTCTCCTGAGTGCTGGGGCTGCCCACGGGCACCCCCCCCCCCCCGAGACAGAGTTTCTCTGCGTCGTTTGGTGCCTGTCCTGGACCTTGCTCTGTAGCCCAGGCTGGCCTTGAACTCACAGAGATCCTCCTGGCCCTGCCTCCGGAGTGCTGGGATTAAAGGCGTGCGCCACCGCCGCCGCTGCCGCCCGCCAGGCTGTTGGTGGTTTTTTGAGACAAAGTGTCACTACTGTAGTGTAAGCTGTTTCTTTGGCTCTTTTAGAAAATTAATACTGGACCAGTGAAATGTCTCAGCACTAAGGGTACTTGCTGCCAAGCCTAATCCCTAGGATCCACGTGGTAGAAAGAGAATTAAGTCCTATAAATTGACCTCTGACCTCCCTATGCTTGTTCCATGTGCACACGCACTCACACACACAAATAATAAAATAAATAAATAAATGTATATGCAGAAGCCAGAGGGCAGCATATGTTTCCGAGGACGGAACTAGGGTCAACTCAGGTCAACTCAGGTCAACCCAGGTCGACAGGGTCACTCAGCAAGCCTCTTTACCAGATGAGGAACTTCACAGACCCTTCTTCGAGTACTGATGTGCCCATTGCCATTGTGGGGCAGAGCAGTTGCGGTGACCTGAGACCTTGGCCGGATGTCACGGCAATGGTAGTGGACATCTAAGCCTAAGGAAAGGGGGTTATTAACATTCCCTTGGGGAGGGTGATGAAGGTCACAAAACTGTCATGGGATCGCCCCAAGACCCTCCCCTGAAGTTCCAGTCACCATTCCCTCTTGCCCCAGCTATACATACCCCTAGAAATGCTAACATATAGAAAAGGCAGGCATTGACTGGGGGGGGGGGAGGGGTGGGACTTTCAGTGGTGCACCTCCCTGGGCCACTCTGGACATGTAAGTAACCCCACTAAATTTATCTATTTTTGCCAAGTTATTCCTGGTAGAATCGTCCTTTGGTCTGTCTGTGCTCTCTTGATTGAGGAGTAAATAGATAGTTTTCTTGCCTTCCCTCAGGAAAGTCATATAACAAACAGCCATGCAGCCCGGTGGGGGTGGAGTGTGTGTGTCTAGAATTCGCTGTGCAGCCCAGGTTCATCTTGAACTTGCAATCATCTTGCCTCGGTGCTGGGATCACAGCCATGTACCAGTGTACCCAGTATTGATTGACACATGACCTTAGGTCATAGACTGTTGAGCTGGGAAGCCTGGGTTTTAATCCTGAATGCTTCTTTATTTTATTACTTTTATTTATTTGTTTGTGTGTGCCATGGCACATGTGTAGAGGTCAGAGGACAACATACGAGAGCCAGTTCTTTCCTTTTGCCATGTGGGTCCCAGGGATCAAACTCAGGTTGTCAGCCTCCCCTCCCCCACCATTGCCGCTGGCTATGATAACTTGGAACACGTTTGTCAAACTTCTCTTGACCTCAGTTTTTCCATCTGTGAGACTGATTGTGTCAAATAGCATTGTTGAGAGGTTGGAGCAAAGATGTTTGGTGTGAAAGGCTTGGAACTGTACGTGGAAACAGGCAGGAAACACCGTGCTTATGGTAATGACGGTGATGCTTATGTGTTCAGCCTGTTGCTCTGGATACGACAAGGAACACAACCAAGTCTCTTGCTCATGCTCCTTCCAGCAAGCTTATCGGTGGCTGGTCATGTAATTGCACCACTGGGGTGTCTGTTTTGCCTGTCTTAGGAGGATATTTCTGTCAGTGCAGCTGATTCTGTGGTTGTGGGGCCATGTTTTGTTTGTGTTCATAGGATGCTATATGTGCTCTGTGGGTGCTGACATAGTTAAGTTTTCACACCTAACTTGTATTGTGAGGGCTCACATTTGGTGTGATCTTGTGTCTCTGACTGAGGTGCTGGGAGTGTGTCTGAAGCAGGAGTCTTGAGGACATCTCTTTCAGTCCCTGAGGACTGCTGGAAAATGAGTGCTCCCAAAATAAGCTCCAGTTTCTGCTCACTGGGGTTGGTTATGGAGAAGCACAGGATGAAAGGGAAGGGGGGAGGAGATGGTGTGGCCAGGGAGACTCTAAGGATGGCAGCACAGAGGGTAATGGCAGGGTGGGGAAGAGCTTCCTGGAGAGATGTGGACATCCATCCATCTATCTGTCCGTCCATCCGTCTGTCCGTCCATCCATCCTATGCATCTATGGAGTCTCTGAAGTGTGTTGAGGTCTGAAGGGAGGTCCTCACCTGTGTTCATAATGTGTTACAGCAACAGTTCTAGGTGATGGAGAGACAGATTAGGAGAGGGAAGGCCTGTCCCTAGTCCTCTCTGAGGTATGAGCTCTAGCCAAATTAAAGAGCAGAGGCTATGAGGCAAAGGCCCCTCCCAGGCTGGGGTACCCCCGTGAACCATTTTCTTATCATCTCCTGCTGGCATAATGACACACTTGCCTGTTCTTAATCACTGTTTTTGACCCCAACTTGGCTCAGCACCAACAGCAAGAAGGGCTTGGACAAGGCTGAATCCAGGGTAGTCAGGGAAGAAAAATCCCTGGAAGTCCTCATCTTTTGGCTCTGTCTCCCTCGAGTCCTAGTCTCCCGCGGCTTCACGGAGCCCTGGCTCTCAGATTCCCTCCCCTCTGTTTGCTGTAGGTCATTTCCTCTTTCTTTCTGAGCCTGCCTTATCCATTAATCTTGTTTTCATCTGTGTTGTGTTCTTCTTACGTCTGTATTTTTCCCCTACCTGTATCTCTATCTTGATTGTCCTGCACTGGACTTCAATTTTCTCACTTGTAAAATGAGGATAATAATAATAATGACAACACTAATGAAGCTCCAATCGCTTAGGACTATGAGGAAGACACGGAATAATTATGTGAATGCTTCAGTACAGAACCCAGGCCGCAGTAAACTCAGTACAAGAGAACTGTTATTATTGTTTTATTGTTTTTATCTCTTCTTTGGTGTCTTTGTGTTCCTTTATCCTCAAGGCTCCTCCCATTCTTTTTTTTTTTTTTTTTTTTTGAGCTGAGGCTCGAACCCAGGGCCTTGTGCTTGCTAGGCAAGCACTCTACCACTGAGCTAAATCCCCAACCCCCTCCCATTCTTTTTTTCAGCAAGCTCTGCCCCTGACTTTCTTGGTAGGGACACAGATAAGAATGACATCCAGGCTAGAGATCCCCTCCTACCTCCCTTGTAGTCTGTGCTCCATCTCAGGCCTCAGAAATCTTGCCTGGGGGTGAGGCATGGCCCCAGTCCCACAAATAGCCTCATAAAATCCTGAACCCCAGATCTGTCATCCAGAGCAGGTAAACCAGAGTGACTCATAGGACCCTGGAGTTCAAATTCCTGGACTCTTATCTTTGAGGTTCCTAATTCTCTGGACCCTCAGACACAAAAATCCTGACCACTAATTTCTTCCCTCGGGTCCTAAGTGCCCTTGTACCTTTAGGATCAAGGAGTGTGGTTTCTTTTTACCAAGGACTGCAGCCGGGTATGATGCAAGTCTACAATCCTAACCGCCTCTGGAGGCTGAGGCAAATCAGAGGCCACTCTCGGTAACATAGTGAGTTCAAGCCCTGTCTGTGTAATTTAGTGAGATGCTGTTTCAAAATGAAGGGTTGAGGTTCAGTGCCCGGTAGTAGAGACCTTGTGTAGCATACGGAAAGGCCAGGGTTCAATTCCCCAGTACTGGGGAAAAGGAGGGGAGAAAAAGGAAGAATTAGAACGCCTGGAAACACCCCAGGTTCCAGAGGCTAAAAACCCTATTCTTGGCCATTGCGATTACGCCCTCAGCAGCCTTCACTCTCTCCAGAGGAGGACCTGACGCTCCCTATGGGCTCTTTTCTGAATGGGCGGGGCTGCAGTCCATGTTGGACAGCGATAGGCTCTGAAAGACGTCATTCTCCGCTAGTTTAGGCCAATCTGCTAATAGACAGGGAACCTGCCTCGTCGGGCTCGGGTAGGTTCGGCTAAAGGCTGAAGGGGTTCCCAAGGAAACCAGCTCATCTGGTTGGTCCCGGTAAGTCCTTTCCCGAATGACCGGTACTGGGGTTCTGGACATAGCGTGCAGCGGCGGCGATGAGGGAGGTCGCTATTGGAGAAACTGAGTTCAGGGATGCGCAACCTCAGAAATGCACCTATGGATTCTATGTTCCTTGCCTGTCATGCGCATCCCTCGGTTCGTCACTTCCTGCTGTCATGAATTCATTCACTCGCGGTTCTCTCTTATAGTCATCCATTCACTCAGCGCTCACTCACTCACCAAATCATCACTTAACAAACATTTCCTAGGCTTCTGGTGTGCCAGGCCTGAAGCTGGGGACTGTGGTGATCAAGATGAGTCAGACCTGGGCCCTGTCCTCAAGGGAGCTCGGGTTAGAGGGAAGGACAGGCATTGGTGGTTAAGGGCGTGAAGGGGTAGGGAGGCACAGGAATCTCTTTTGGGGGTTGGCATGGTCAGCAAACAATTTCCGGAGAAGGGGCCACTGGCGCTGGTCCTTGGACGAGCACTAGGTGGCAGTACAGGTTGTGGGAGGGTTTCAGCCTGTGCAAAGTCAGAGGCCTGGAGGTGCATCACCACGTTAGGTGCCCAAATAGAAGACCCACGCTGTACTGTACCACCAGGGGAGCTGTAAGGCTGGAAGAGGATGAGGAGGTGAGCACCAGCTAGAGTGAGGAACTTGGTGTGTGCGTGCGTGCGTGCGTGCGTAAGTGGAGAATCACTGACTGTGTTAGTGCCAGGGATGGGCTAAGGCAGAGCAGGGACCAGAGCTGGAGGTGTGAGACTGGAGTTTCTGTCAGTACACCAGGTGGTGGCCTTTCCAGTGCCTAGGGAGAACAGGGTGGAGCCTGGATCCGGCCAGAGGTTGAAGGGATGAGACAGGAGGTAGAGGCAGAACTTGTGGTAGGTGGGCTGTGGGGACAAAGGGGTCTCCAGGACAACACCCAGGGCTGTTGTTTATCTCGGGGGGCTGTACTTGATGAGCTGGGAGCGGAATGAAGGTGTGTTCAGTGCATGGATATAAATCCTTTCAGGAATTCTAGGTTGAGGGTTTTGTTGTTTTTCAGGGTCTTACTTTGGACTACAGTTTGGGGCCAGCTTGGGCTACATCACAACCTCACTATTCACTATATATCTCAGAGGGACCTCAAACAGATGGTAGTCCTGCTTCAGCCTTCCAAGCACTGGGGTTCTAAGTGTGAGCCATCTTGTATAATATTAGAGGGACCAACCTTAATATTAATACTTCCCAGGGGCTCAGGAGAGAAACTACGAACGGCGAGGACTATTTTTGGGAAATTGAATCTCAGCACCTCATCAAGGTCCTGTCAGTCACCACCTCATCCCTTTAACTTCTAGACATGTGGTGTTCACTGGCTCAGCCCCTTATCTTCCATTCCCTCTTCAGCCCACCACATTTGAATGCCATGACTCTGGGCAAGGTCTGTGGCAGCACATGCTCATTCATGGGCGAGGCCCTCAGGATAGCATTTCAGTCTGTCATGGGCCACTCCCTCCTTCCGGAAACTTCCTTTACAGCCTCTTCTCTCCTGCCTCCCTTCCTCTCCAGCTGATCCTCAGAACATTCCAGCAGGGGCTTCTCACGACCCCTTCCTTTATTGTGCGCCATAAGCTTCAGGGCTCTGTCTGTTCTGGCCCCTTCCAATCCTACCTTGTCTATTCTTTCAAGAATGATCCTAGTTTTTGGGCTCCAGCTAGAGTGAAACACAGACCCCTCTTCAGCCTCCTGGATGTCTCCCTGAAGTGTCTCATGGAATAACCTCTGAGCATCCCCCGTCCCCGGTCTCTTAGCAGGCACTTGAGCTCTCTTCCTGGTCAACAGGCTGCCTCATTGTCCACTTGCTTTATGGCTAGACCTCAGAGTCATGCTTGTATCTTTGCTCTGTTAGAATCCAACCCCTACCTTAACTGTTTTACTCCTGCAACCGCATTGCTGGCTCTGGGATGCTCCCTACCCTCATGGCCTCTACTCCAGCCCAGGCCTTGCCTTAACTTGTCCCCAAGCCTCTCCTTTGCCTCCAGGGTTCCAGTTCATCCCCAGTGCCTTGGCATATTCTTCAGCACTTTGACCCTCATGAGGACCCTAGCTGCTCTTCAGCTGTTACACGCAGTTTCCTGGTATGGAAGAAGCCTCGATCACTACTTACTGCCATGGTTCTCTGCCTAGCAAGTTTGTGCTATTTTTTTTTTTTTATTACGTGTGTGTTTTGTCTGCATGTCGTCTGTGCACCATATGCATACCTGGTGCCCTTGGAGGCCCTGGGACTGGAGTTACATCTATGAGCTCCCACATGGGTTCTGTGAATTGAACCGGGGTTCTCTGGAAAAGCATTTAGTGCTCTTTCTTAACCACTGAGCCAGCTCGCCAGGCCTGTGCTGTTTAAAGGCCAAGTCCATCTCTTCTGTGAAACCTTCTCTGACCATCATTGCACACACTCCCTGAACCACGGATCAGTAGCCCTAGGAGCAGGCCTTGGGTTTAAATTGCCTCACTAGACTCAAGGTCTACCAGGGGGCAGGCCTCTGAGGCTTTAAGGACTATCTCAGGCAGGTAGTACTTGCATCTTAGGTAGTTTTGGTTGCGAGCAAAGCTAGTCCCGGGCCACATATCCTAGTTTCCCCCTTTAGCAGACGCTTGAACCCAGTGCTGCCACCTGCTGGGCAAACACATTCCCTATTTTTAAAAAGGCCTAACTAATTAAATAGCTTTTATTTACAAAAGACAAAACCGACTAGCCACGGTCGGTCACAACAGCAGTAGAAGGCAGTGGTGGAGTGAAGGTCCAGCTGTCTTGGTGACAGGTGTGTGTGCGTCCCCCTCTCCCAGGCTCGGCTTTCGGTCCCCACCCCGCCCCACTTACGGTCCCAAATTAAGGCACAGCCCGCCCCCTCCCGCCCAGCCTGACCAAGGGCCCCCGCTGGGCCTAGAGCCCGTCCCGGAGCGCACTCATCACGGAGGCCCGCGCAGATGGGAGCAAGAGGTCTTTTAGTGCCGCCCCCCGCCGTCCCCAGCTCCGGCTCGGCTCAGCTCAGCGGTGCGGCAGGCGGGGTGAGGACGAGCCGGATGCGCTGCACGCACAACTCCGTGGCCTGCCGGGTCTCGCGGCACAGCGCCGCCAGGCTCAGGAAGCCATGCGGCAGGTCCTCTACCACATTCAGCGTCACGGGCTGGCCCAGGTCGCGCAGCCGCCGCGCGAACATGACCGAGTCATCCAGCATGGGGTCCAGAGCGCACGCCTGGAGAGAGTGGGGGTCAGGGTAGGAGGGAAGGTTAAGGACGTGGACACGGATATGGAGTGAACAGAGGCCGGGCGTGGGGAATGAGGAGTCGGGGAGAGAGGGGGCGGAAAGGGAAACAGGAGGAAATGAGGTTAACCGAATCCCCAACCTTTACCCAGCCCTGCCCCTATCTTTTCCACCCGCCCAAACCTCCTACCCAATAAAAGTACAAGACAACAGATTCCCTGGTTTGCCCAGCTACCGAGGCACTTGCTAGCTCTTTTCCCCGGGGCACCCATGTCCCACCCACCACCCTCCAGCGGCACCCTGCCCGGCCTTGTTCTCACCACAATGTGCACAGGCGGCAGGGTCTTCAGCATGCTGTCAGGGGCCAGCAGAGGAGACATGAAGGGGTTCTTGACGATGGGTGACGAGTAGAGGGGCATGTGGAGAATACCCTGGCTTGAGCGCCTGGGGTGGAAACCCTCAGGGAACGCAGCGCGCACTCGGGGGGCTCTGTCCATGGTGCCCACATCATCTTTGGCTTCACCCTCTTCGTGGAAATTCTCAGGCCTCAGAAAAAAGTTGACATCGGAGGGTGTGGAGGGGCCAAGTGTCTCCATTGACATCGACATCTCGGGGGTGTCTGATGTCTCTGAGTTGCCTTTAAAGCTCAAGTCCTTCATTGTCAGGGTCTTCAGGGAATCTGTACCCAGCAAGCCCTCGGGCTGGGCCAGGGCTGCTTCAGACACACTCCTGCGCATTGACTCCGTGGGGCGCACGGCCTCTGTAGGAAGGGCAAAGACAGAGGCTGCCTGAGGCCAGAAGATAAGTCTGGCAGCGAGCAGGGTGTTCGGATGGCAGATAAGGTAGGTCAGTAGTAGGAGAGTGGTCTGTGTGGGGAGGTCCAGGACATCCTCCTCCCCCCAGACTCTAGGGTGAGTGTGGGTGGGGCGTTTGTGTCCAGGATTGCGATTGGAAAGCTGGTAGTCTTGGAGTGGGGCTGTGTTGTAGGGCAGGGTGTGCATGTATAGACCCGGGAAGTGCAAATCAGTTGACTTCTGGGAGTTTTCATCTTTCCCTCTGTATAAATGATATATAGTTCTTAGCTTCTAAGTTGTAAGAATATAAGAACTCAGAGGGATAAGATAGGATTAACTATCATTTCCTCCAGAGGGATCATGATGTATCAGGATTTTTTTGTGTGTGTGTCTGTGCTGCTGGGGATAGAACCCAGACCTTTGCATATGCCAGCTCCCAGCCCCTCACAGGTGGGTTCTGGGCAGATGCTCCCCTGGCAGGCATTAAGGTTTGACTGCCAGGCAGGATGCCCTGCTGTAGCTGCCTCTGGGCTCCCCAGCAGGAGGTTCAGCCAGCCTTTTATGACCCCTTGACCAAGGGGCATGAATGAACTCACATAGCTGGACAGGGGCTTCTCTTTACAGGCAGCTAACAGTCTTCAGGGTGTGTTACTCTCCCAGAGAGCTTGCATCTATAGCCAGGTGGATCTGCTCTCCAAAATGTCTTTCATGTCTCCATTTTATCCCTTTCCACTGAGCAACCAGGCAAGCAAGTGCCCAGATGACATGTGTCTAGCCCACGTGGCACAGACATCTTGGAGGCACTGGGCCTCCAGCCTGTTAATTTAATTAGATCTTCAACTGCTTCTTGTTTCACGGCTTATGTTGTTTTATTTCGGACAGTGCTGCTCTGTAGCCCTGGCTTGCTCAGAATGGGATCCTCCTGCTTCAGTGGTGCAGCACTACACATGGTCCTACCTTTCAGTTCCTACAACTTGCCTTTATCAACCTATGAGGGCAAAGTGCAGACCAATGTAAGAATAATCACTTAGGTGCTGTGTCACCCAGAGTCACTGGGACAAAACTGTAGACATAGGACATGGAATTCTAGTATGTTCTGGGAGCACCTGTGTGCCAGGCACTGTGTTGGCATTTGACACAATGTGGGTAGCAGTCCTCACTATGACTCCACAAAGGCAGATAATCTCATACCCATTTCACGGAGTGACAAACTAAGGGTTATAGATGCTAATATTTGTCCATTAACCCAGCAATGAGTGAGGCACTGATGAAGTGAGAAGCTGGGCTGGAGTGTGTGCTTCCCAGGACACCTTTTGGGGACCTTTCTCCTACAGAGAACCCCACCCCCAGGGCTCAGTGGTCCCTTGCCTCAAATTTAATTCTCTTTTAACGTGTGTGTGTCTGCATTTCCTGAAGATTCTAAAATTAGAACTTTAACTTACAGTAAAATACATGTGAACTGAAAAAACTTTGTGTGTGTGTGTGTGTGTGTGTGTGTGTGTGTGTGTGTGTGTGTGAGAGAGAGAGAGAGAGAGAGAGAGAGAGAGAGAGAGAGAGAGAGAGAGAGATCACTCTCGGGTGTTACTCTTCAGGGCACCATCCACTTGGGTTTTTCTTTATCTTTCTTACGTTTTTATTGTGTGTGGGTGTGCACGTGTGGAAGTCACATGACAATGTTTAGGAATAGGCTCTTGCCTTCCTCCATGTGAACCCTGGGATTGAACTCGGGTCAGGCTTAGCAGCAGGCACTGAGTCTCGTCAGCAGCCTCCACTGCCTTTCACTGCCTTTGCCCAGACTTGCTCTCCAGTAAGTCCCAGGGACTCGCCTGACTCTGCCCACCCAGGGCTGCGATTACGGCATGCACCACCACAACTGGCTTTATATGGTTTTGTTTCAAAACCATATATATCAGGTTCTCATACTTGCCCAGCAGGCTCTTTGCTTCTTGAGACATTTCCCCAGCCCCCTGAAGAATGGGTTTGTTGTTGTTGAGATAGGGGTCTTTCTGTGTAGCTCTGGCTAGCCTGGAATGGGAACTTGCTGCGAAGACCAGGCTGGCCTCAAACTCACAGAGATCTTGTCTTGTCTCTGCTTCCCAAGTGCTGGGATTAAAAGTGTTCGTCACTAAATCTGGCCATGAGAGAGTTATTTTTTTTTTTTTTTTTTGGGGGGGGGGGGGGGGGGGGGGGGGGAGCGCAGTTCCTGGGATTGTGAGATCACTTGTGGGGAGCAGAAGTAAGTCTGGGAATTTTCTGGATGGCATCTGCTGGGGAAAACCCAGGGCTTGGCTTGTAGGGACAAGGACAGAGCCAGCCAGAAAGGTATCTTTGTAGCCCCATTGTGTAGCCCCTGGGGCTTTTGCTTTGTCTAGGCTATCCTGGCTAGGTGCCTGGGAATAAGCTCTAACTCACCTGGTGTGGGCAATGAGGTCTTTTGGGGCTTTCGTCCGCTTAGCTCCAGGAAGGAGTTGAGCCATGAGGAGGCACCCAGGCGCAGGTCTCTGAGGAATAGGGATGTGTCCCTCTGCACCAGCCCCATCATGCCCAGTGCCTTCTGGTCTGAGTCAGAGTGGTCCTCTGTCTCTGTACCTGCAGAATGAATGCACGTGAGAGGCTGAGTTGGTCTCTCTTTCTAGGTGCAGTTCTAACACCCAGAACTTGGGGTATCTGAGGCATGCAGGCATCCAGCTGCCATGCTGAGGGTACGGATCTTACCTGAATAGGCGCTGACACACTTAGAGAGTACGCTCAGTGGTAGAAGCGGGTCCATGAGGCTCAGAAGACGAGAGGGAGAGGCAGAGGGCTGTAGGGTGGTGACTGGGTAGGCTGCCATGATGCCATCTGGCACCCTCACTCCGTAGGCTGCTGCCCGAAGGGACACAGTGATGCAGAGGTTCCCGCCTGCACTGTCTCCTGCAAGGCATATCCGCTCTCCTGTTGAACCTATTGTGGGGGGAAGGGTCCAGTCATAGCCTGGCATGACCTGGGAGAACTGGGCTCTCAGGTGGGGTAAGCCATTCCTAAGACCAAGCAGAATGCCGTTTTAGTTACTGGCGAGAAGAAGCATGGGTTTGGATCCCATGTGGCACGTAGTGGTCAAAGGACAGAGACAAAGTACGGGGGAGCTGGGGAGCCTGAGGGGCAGCAGCAAAGGCAGGTGGTGCAAAGGGGAGCTCAGGGCAGTTTTCCCAAGACAGGGACATCAGAAGGTGGGAAACCGAAGGTCGGGGGGTTCAGGCTGGGTACAGCCATGCTCTGCTTTGTGCCCTGGTGTCTTCCTGAGATGCTGGCATTCCAAGGGGGAGGTGTGAGGACCTAGCAAATATGTAGGCATGTGAACCAGCAGACTGGTAGTTCAGGAGAGCAGGAGGTGGGCAGCTGGGGAAGAATGGAGAGACAGGAGAGGAGGGACCAGAAATGAAGGCTGGAATAAGGAAGCAGGAGGCAGAGACGACGTGGCCAAGATGGGAGATGGGCAGCAATGGGGCTAGCCCATAGCAGGCAGGAGGCAGATGGAGGGAAGGTGGGCTGGGTAGAGAGGAGGCTGAGGCTTTAGGACCTAGGGACTTAGTGCCTCTGCAGGCCAGGCCAGGGGTTGAAGAAGGGTGGTTAGGGCAAGGATGGGGGCACGGGTAGAATCTGTGAAAGCAAGGACCTGGGTCTTACCGAGCAGGTCACAGTGCTTGACAGCCCAGCAGTAGGCAAAAAAACACTCTTCTAGCGCTCTGGGGAAGGGGGCCTCGGGGGCCAGGGAGTAGTCGATGGAGATGATGGGGACACCTAGCTCCTGGGCCCAGTTCTTGAGGTAGGGCTCATGGGATTTGGAGGTCTGTGCCACAAAGCCACCACCATGGATGTGGACCACTAGGGCCCGTGAGCGGGGTGCTTGCTGGGGCCGTGGGCGCAGTTCCAGGCGTGGGCCCTCGGATTTCACCAGGCTGTTGAGCATCTTGCTGTCCTGGTGGTGAGGAGGGAGGAGGGTGGTCTGTCAGGGCCTTCTTTTCCCCGGGGGGTAGGCTTGGGGGTTCAGGGCGCTGAGCTGACGCTGCCACTGTCTGGGGCTTACCTGTCCTTCCCGCAGGTCATAGGAGATGAGCCTGGCTAGCACAGGCCCTGGGCCCGTGTGTGCCAAGGGAGGTGAGATGGTAACTGTGAGCTTGGGGTCAGAGGTTAGCGGCATCTCAAAGGCCTCAGGTGGCAGGCTGAGCAGGCGGCTTACCCTCACAGTGGTTGATGCCATGTTAGCCAGGGACTGGGGAGGAACAGAAGGGATGCTAGGGAAGGGTTATGGAGGTGGTGGGCGTACATACCACATTCTTCCTGTCCCTAGCCCGGTCTTTCCCCTTATGTGCTATCCTTGGACCCAGGGCCCAGTAGTGACCGGCAGTGACTTCACTGGATGTCTGGGACTCAGAATCTCCATCTGTAAGCATGCTGGAGGCTCTCCCCTGCCCCCCAGCTCACCGACAACACCTCAATCTCAGTGATGTTCCAGAAGGCTTTCCAGAAGTGCACATCCAGGTTCTGTATGATCCGTTCAAACTCAGCCCCACGCAACTCTGGGTCTATGGCGAATCGGCCACCAGTGAAGAGGGAACTGGCAGTCACACCTGGGGGTCAGGAGGGGTGTCAAGGAACCCTGGTGGAGACCAGGCTGCTCGGTTGGGTTAGGAGAGGGGGACAGGAGAGGATGTGGGTAGGGCCCGGCCACCACTCACTGAGGCCTGTCTCGTTCCGTTTGTAGTGTTCCCCGAAGGACACCAGCCCGATGGAGAGAGTCTGCAGGAACGGCCGGATGGCAGGCGTGAACTGTGAAGGGATGCCTGTGTCACCCAGCCACCCAGGAGACGGATGAGGATGGGGCACAAGGTGGGACAGACACAGGAGTGGGCACATACATTTAGCAAGCTTTTAATGTGTTCCTATGGTGTGCTGTGGGCATCACCCTGGGCCCCTTCATGGACCTGGTATCTTCAAAGGGAGAGGAGACGATGAACAAATAAAGACACGTGCAGGGTAATGTCTAAATCAACTAACGGCCTGAAGAAAGGCACTAGGTGGATGGGCTGCTGTGATGACCATGGGCCAGGCTACCTGCCCAGGCTGAGAGCAGGGGTCTGAAGGAGGAGAGGCCAGAGCAAGTGCAGAAGCTGAAGATGCAGTGGCGCACATGGGTAGCGAGGGAACAGAGGCATACTGAAGGGGGGCACGGGACAGAGAACACAGTGGTGTGCCTGGAGCAGAGTAGGCCAGGAACAAGAGCAAGGGAGGTCCTAGAGGCAAAGAAGGCTCTTCTAGGGCCCAGGCTGAGGGACTGGGGAGTAAGAACACACAGGAACTTCCTGAAGTCAGAAAGAACAAAGGGGTGAGGCAGACAGTTGGGGCTGGGCACAGGGCAACTGAAAGCCAGAAATGGGGAAATGACCCAAGACAGGTAGAGAGAACTTGGGGAGATCAGCTGAGGCCTAGACAGGGATAGATGGCTGTCAGGGAAGACACCTGGCAGGTGGCAGAGGGGAGGACAGACAGGAAGACAATGAGAACAGCAGAGGAGACTCAGTCGCAGGAGGCTAAGGCAAGGAGTTAGCAGAGTTCTTGTTCACTCTGAAAACTGTTCCACAGCATGGAACATTGGGAGGGAACAGGGACTGAGCAGCCTCATCTGAGATCTAGGGGCTCTGCCTTCCTGGAAGTTGACATTTTAGAGGGCAATGCAGTCTTGCCCTCTAGTAGAGCTGGGTCCTCAGGAGCTGGCAGGTGGCCCAGGCCGTGTTCTTGGCCAGGGACCCAGTAGGCCAAAGAGCACAGGAGGCTCCTGGCCTTTGTGGCTAGGACACTGATTCAGGCAGCCTGGAATTTCTTTATTTCCAGTGTTGATGCCAGGGCATGAAAGCAGGGAGATGTTTGTAGGTTTATTCGGGTGAGGGGAGAACCCCAGAAATAATTGTGTTGGGCTGCTCAGGCCCAGGAAGCCTGGAATGGTAGACAGGGACAGGGAAGCTGAAAGAGTGGTGGGCTCATCCCTCGGTGAAGTAAGAGGAGGCCCTGAGAGGGCAGAAGGACCAAAGCATCACATAGCTCCTGGAGTCCTTGCTGAGGTTCCTTCATACAGCTGGTTGGGGCTGCCTGGAGCTAGCATGACCCCAGACAGGGGCAACTTAGGCCTCTCTTCTGATTTTAGTTTTCTATGTTCCCCAGTTTTCTAGTCCCCAAATCAATTATTTAGTTATTTTTGAGACGGGGTCTTTCTATGTAGCCTTGGCTTGCCTGGTACATATGATGTAGCTCAGGCTAGCCTCTATCTCTAAATAATTCTGAGGGTATTAGATTGCCTCACTTTCCATGTGGTGACAGGCTGCATCTTTCTGAGGTGGTTTGGGATGGGCAAAAGGTAGGAGAAAGGCCACAGCTAGGATCAGAATGTCTAGTTCAGGGAAGAGATTAACCACAACCAGGTCTTCATTGTCACCAACTCTGATGGATGTGTTGGTCCTATCCTAAAGGCTGCCTAGAAATCATGTGGTTTCTATAGTGACAAAGCCCAGATGCCAATCTCCCATCTGTGGGCTGTCACCTTCTTCCATCTGGTCCAGAATCCCAAGTGCACTCACACAGAATGGACCTCTGAGATCAATACTGATTACCCTCCTAGGCACTCAGACTCAAATGAACTTCAGGGTTCAGTGGGCTGGAGATACAGCTCAATGGTGTGCTCACCTAACTCTTGTAAGGCTCTAAGTTCAATCCGAAAGACTTGAAGGAAAAAGAAAAAGAGCAAATGAACCTCTTCTTCTCCCCACCTTTTGCTGGGTTGAAGCTCTGGCCTCATGTATGTTTGACAAGTGTTTTATCACCGAGTTGTGGCCCCAGCCTTCTTGTTACTTTTGAGACAGGGTCTCCCTAAGTTATCAAGGTTGGCCTTCATCTCACTCTGTAAGCTCAGCCAGGCCTTGGACTTGCAATCCTCCTGCCTCAGCTTCCCGAGTAGCTGGGATGTAACAGGCCTGAGTTACCAGATCCAGCTGGTGAAGAGGTTTCTGATACATGGCAGGTCTATCTAGTCACAGCTCATGAGCTGGAGACCTTGGAGTCCAGCTCTGAGTTCCTGCCAACTCTCCCTGCCAATCTGTGCTCTGATTCCCTAATCCAGTAACTCTGATGGCTGTGACTCTACTTCAAGGACAGGTTACCAGCCACCAGTGCCTTCACTGTGAGTCCAGGAGGACACGGGGCAAGGGACTCACCTGGAAGCCCAGGCAGCGGCCGTAGAAGCAGCCTTTATGTAGAGTGACATACTCTTGCAGGAAGTCAGCGGTAAGTCCTTCATCACCCTCAAAGAAGAGCACCCCTGGTCGGTTGGTAGCCAGCAGGCGCTGGGCGTAGTAGGCCAGGGCACGGAGCTGGGTGAGAGCAGCCAGATAGGCCTCCAGTTCTGCTAGGTTGTGGCTGGCACGGAAAAAGATACTTCGGCGATTGGAGGCCACATAGCGGGATTTGTGGAGTAGGTGTGCTAGGCAGCAACGGGCTGTGTGCACCAAGCTACGGTACCCATTGGCTGGGGTCTCTGTGTCCAGGTCGAAATGGTGCGCCACACCCAGCAAGTGGCCTAGGGTTGGCTCCAGCCCCAGGGCCTGTTCGCGAACACCTGCGAAGACATTGGACAGCCGCCGAGCTGTCTCTCCGGGGCCCTGGCTTGAGAAGAAGGCCATGTTGTCTTCTGCAAGTGTCACCAGCGACTGTGTCATTGTGCGGAGATCCATGCTGTGTGAGAATGCCGAGGCTGTGGGGAGATGGGAAGGTCTGGGATTACCCTTGCTAAGTCAGGCCCAGGAGTCCAGGTCCTACCTTTCTTCCCTCAGGCCCAAGTATTCAAACCCAGGACCATCCTTGCTTCGATCCAGGAGTGCAAAGCTGTAGCCTCCTCCTTCAAGGCTCAGGGGTCTATTCCAAACCTCCTAGAGATCCAGGGACCTTCCATTATCTTCTCTCTCGCAGCTAAGATTTTTATCTCCTTGTCTTCCAGAGGTCTGGGGCCTCATCCTCTTTTTGCCTAGCTGCTGAGAGTTGAAACTCTCAGACTTTTCCCTGCTCTACCCTCTCCTTCCCGATCTAGGACTCCAGTCTCCTAAGCCCCAGAGGACTTGGTTCACCAGTGCTGCTCTCTACCCCAGAAGCCGGCCCACCCTCTTCCTCTTCCTTCCAGGTATTCAAGGGTGAACTCTATCTTTGTTTACTCTCTTTAGACTTGTCCTTCTTGTTCCAGGAAATCTGAATGCCTAACGGTTCCCTTTCTCAAGCCCCACGTGCTCAAGCCCCGTCTCCGTTCCTTTTCAGTCTCCTGGTGTTGCCCACAAGCCCTTCCCTTCTCACAGTGATGGGGATGTGATTCCCAGTCCAGCCATCACTGCCTCCTAGGACTTCCCTCCTTTGGAGCCCCAAGCATACATAACCCAGCGTTTCTGCGCCAAGAACTCACTCCTGGTTACTCCAGCCTGCCTGTAGAATCCCCTACAAACTCCAACTCCCTCGTTGTTTCTCTGTGGGGGTCTCAAACTCAACATCCCTTCTCTAGATGGTTGCCTGGCTTTCAGCCTTGGCCCCCTGTCTTAGGTCGAATTGTCTCACTCCCCTGCCCGCAACAGCAGTTCAAATAGGCAATACTGATCACTAGCCAAGCCCCTGCCAAGGTTTACCTTAAAGATCCGGAACAGTTCAGATCTCTATTGCTGCCAGCATCCCCTTTTACAGGAGGGCAAGCTGAGGCTCAGTAAGAAGCTGGAGGTGGTACGGATAATGGCAGAGCCCATTTAACCCCGATTTCTAGGTCCTATATAGGCATCGCTCCTCCTAGGGCTCTCAAAGCTCAGCTTCTGTCCCTCAGAACCCAGCTCCATGCTTTGCTCAGCTTCCCAGTCAGGGTGTCCTATGATCTCCCTCCAGAGTCCGAGTTATCTAGCACATCTTGGAGAAGTTGCCCTTGACCCTTTGGTGAGGACATTACAACCTTCCCAAGTGATTCTTTCCCTGCGGAGGCCTAGGGCCCTGCCTGGCTCCTGGGTTTGCAACCCTTTGTTTCCGTAGAAGACAGTGTCTCCTCTCCCTTCCAGATCCTGGGTTCTGGTGGCAGCAGCCATTTCTGTCTCTCAGCTGGCCCTGCACTCACCCTCCCTGGCCTCTTCGGACTGGAGCTCCACAAGCTGGCACAGCAGGTCTGTGGCTAGTGCCAGTACCAGCCTGTGGCGATAAAGTGGGGGAGGGACCAGCCTAGTCAGGGTGTGGCCATTTGATTCGCCTCCCATCCAGAATGGATAGTGAGAACCACATGTTGTAAACGGAGCCCAGAGTTCAACTCCTTACCCCTCCTGCCTGCACAGAGTCCTCGTGCCACGTTCCTCTTCCTTAGAAGCCTGAAGTCGCCGCCCTGCAGCCCCTCCTTGCTTAGACCCCGGAGCCGTGCCCCGTTCCTCCTTGTTGAGAGGGCTTAGCTAACCCCAGCCTCTCCTCCCTCAGACTCCCTCATCCAGTCCTAGTCTTCTCCCCTAGGCCCCAGGAGCCCCAGCCTTAATCCTGAACACACTGTCCCCTCTCACCTAGCCAAAATGCCCTCCCTCTCCCCCAAGTGCATTCAGGGAGCCAAAGGCTCAGTGATGTCAGTTCCCACCCCCTAGACTGGCCCTGGCACAGATGTCCCCAGCTGCTAGGGGAAAAGAGGTGGCTAGCCCTGCTTCTCCCTCCTGGGAGGACAAAGGCCGATTAAGGGCAATACCAAACTCAGCCAGGGGCCTGAGTCACAGGCCCTACTGTGTAGTATTCCTACATGGACATCCTTGGTTTACCTCCTAACTTCCACAGCCCACCCTGCTGTGACAGTCAACTCCATGTTACATTATGGGGAAACCAAGGCTCTTTTTTTCCCCAAGGTCTTCCACATGCTCCTTACCCAGCCAGCTCTTTCTCACCCTCAGGCCTCAATTGGAAGTGGTCCCTACCTTGTTTCTCCCCATCTCTCAAGTCCACCCTCACTTACCCCCTAGGGCTTATTTCTGCTCTAGCATGTACACAGTGTGCAGTCATCCCTTTACTTGTTTTTATGTCTGTCTCCACTAGGACAGAAACAGATTTTTATGGAGGCGCAGAGCTCATAAAGTGGAATATGGCTACTTAGGAAGAACATGAAATTACAAATAAAAAAAAAAATCAGGTGTCGGGCTTTTGAAAGAGCCTGTTGCAAACGAGAGGCCCTGAGGCTTCAGCAACATTTGTCTGGCTGTGGGTGAGTCCTCAGTCTCTGTCCCTGGACTGTCATCTTGATGAAGGAGAGGGTGGCCCCGAGGCCTAGCACACTCCAGCAAGTCTGTGAAGGGAAGAGGGCATGAAGGGTAGAGTGAGGACCAAAGGTAATGGCTGGGCACTTGGGAGAGAGCTGTACATTCCCAGGACCAGCAAACAGATAGACAAATGGACCAGAGCCTCGGGGGCCAGTTAAGGTAAGCAACAGTTATGGTGGGATACTGGCCCAGGTCACTTGCTGGTTAAGTGCTGGTGTGACTTCCTCATCTGGAAACTGCTGGGCTGGTTTGCTCAGCAGGGTGGAACCCAGATACTCCCATGTGCTAAGCATGTGCTACTTCTGAGCTACATGCCCAGCTCAGGGAGGTATTGCATGCGCATGCATGGTTCATTCTGTGGGCTCCCTCAGCTCAGCCTTGCTGAGATGGTGTGTTTGGATCTTTCTTACGGCACTCCTTGTCACAATTCTAAACAGTGTATGGCTTCCTAATCATATTATTTGTTTTGTCTCCCCATGAGACCCTAGGTACCTGGAGTTCAGGGCCTTGTTTGTTGTGTTCAGCTCTTAGCCAGGGCAATTTCCCACTTTCTAAACCTAGCTTCATCCGCTTCCCACACTGGTACCTTGTATCTACCATTTGCCTTTCTGCCACAGCTCACCCTACGACTCTCTCCCGACCCCAACATGTGAGGAACGTGGGGTTGGGATACTTATTGAAGAACACTTTTGGAAGAACAAGTGACTTGGATGAAGCAGCAGGGAAAGGGCTGGATCCCTAAGCCACTGTGACTTCAGGGCTCTCCTCTTTGCCCCACTCATGGTAGCTCCCTGAAGACTGGGCTGGCTAGGGCCAGGAGGGATACTGGGATTGCTAGAATCCTAGGCAGAGGGCACTGGGGTAAGGGCATACCCATGGTGCCATGGATGAGCATGGCAGGAATGGGGCAAAGGGTAGGGCTGAGGGGGGCATGGCAGTGGGGGAGAGGTACTTAGACAACTAGGTCCCAGCCCTTTGCCCTGGGCGATGTTTTTCTCCTTTGGTTCTGGGAATCAAACTTGTCCATGCTAGACAGATGTTCTGCCATTGAAGCATGTTCCCAGCTCCTCCAGCTCTCTGCCCTGAGAAGCCACTTGTCAGCTGTGTCAGGCCTGGACTTTGGTTCCAGGGGATGAACCAGGGCAATATACTTTCATGTTTCTTCATCTACCTAAGGTATGTGTGTTTGTATGCAAGTGTTGTGACCTATGTGTGTTTACTGGCCTGCAAGTGTATGCTTTTGTCTTGGATTTTCAGCTTGTATGGGGATGTGTTCATGTTTTAAACAATCCATGGACTGGAGATGTAGCTCGGTTGGTGGAGTGCTTGCCCACCTTGTGCAAACCCTGGATTTAGTCCCCAATACCATATAGACTGTGTGTGGGGGTGCACACTTGTAACCCAGCTCTGTGGAGGTGGAAGCAAGAGGATCTGATGTCATTTTGGAATACATAGTGAGTTCAAAGCCAGCCTGGGATATATAGGACACCCTGCCTCCAAAACAAAACAAAACAAAACAAGACAAGAATAAAAATAACAAAAAGAATCTATATACACGTTTGGGTGTGTCGTGGTGCATACATGTGTTGAGAACAGAAATCACTATTTGCTCAAGCAGAGACTTAAGGCGTTATCATGCTCATCTCCCTCACCTATCCATCCATCTACGCCATCACCCAGGCCTGTCCCACCTATGTCCTATGGACCTCAAAACTTGGCATGTCCCCACCCCCTGCCTCCCCCTGCTGCACTGTATCACCCTCACTTGGCATGTCCCCACCCCCTGCCTCCCCCTGCCACACTGTATCCCGCTCACTTGGATGATTGTGAAGCTCTCTGTGTGCCTCTGATTTAAGTCTGTTCCCTGCAAAGCATCTAGAGGATCTTTTGAAAACATTGAATCTGATCACTCCTTCCTCTCAGGATAAAGCCTCCCAACCAATCTAGAGCCCACCCTCCTGCCTCAGGCTCCTGTTGCCAGCCTCCCTCCAACCCTACGCTGCTCCTTCCAGCATCAATGGTTTTTTGTGTGTTGTTTTGTTTTTCCAGACAGGGTTTCCCTGTGCAGTCCTGGCTGTCTTGGTACTTGCTCTGTAGACCAGGCTGGCCTGGAACTCACAGAGATCTCCCTGCTTCTTCCTCCCGAGTACTGGGATTAGAGGCGTGTGCCACCACCGCCCGGCTAGCATCAAGGTTTTTTGCTCATGCTGCTCTCTGTTTTACCTACTTTCCTTGTTCAGCAGGAAATTAATTAATTAATTAATTAATTAATTAATTAATTCTTGTCCATCCATGAGTCTGACATCACCTCCTTGGAAAAGCTTCCCATAATCATTTTCTCAGAATTTTCTCTTTTTGAAGACAGGATACATTTTCTCATGTATTCCAGGCTGGCCTCAGACTATGTGGTCAAGGATGACCCTAAACTTCTTTCTGATCCTCCTGCTTCCACCAATCTACTTCTGAATCCTGGGCACATGCCACCAGGCCTAATTGATGTGGTCCTGGAGATAGACCCTAGGGCTTTGTGCACGCTAGACAAGTACTCTAGTAATTCAGCTACATCCCTGGCTCCAAGATTTTTCCTTTTATTGTATTTATCACACTGACTTGTTTACAACAGGCTTTTTAAAGTGGGTGGGTGGGAGAGGTTGAAAGTCTCACTCTGTAGTCTTGACTGACCTGCAACTCACTACATATCCAGGCTGGACTTGAACTAATGGTGATCCCCCTGACTCAGCGTCTCAAGTACTGGGATCAGAGGTGTGTGCCACATGCCTGGCAACAGCAATAGTCTTATTAATATTTGTGTCCCCAGCTCTACTGAGTCTGTCCTGCTAGTCACAGAATGCCTAGGTGTTGAGCGAAGGTCTGGAGATTAAATCTTTCTGATGAGAGCCTTTTAGATCCAGAATTAAGGTTGGGGCACACAGCAGTTGTCAACTCCCACATTCCCTGTCCTGAGAAGGCTGAAGGTGTCTCTCTGCCTTTACTGGCCAGGTAAGGAAGCCCAGCTGGCTGAGTGCCTCTGTGTCATCATTTGGGAAATGGGCTGATCATAATGACAGCAGTCTTATCCAGTTACTGGCAGGATCACATGGATAAAAAGACTGCTCCAGCCAGTCAGGATACCCTTGGGGCAGGGGTGGGATCTGATTCACAGGTCTGAGGCCTGGCACCAGGAAGGGCCTCAGGAAACGACAAGCAATTCTCAGAGCTGAGCCTTTGCCTTTGTGAGTAGGTTTGACTGTGCAAGAGTCTTACTCAGGTAGATTCTTTCTGACTCCTCAGGACACTAAGGACAGCTTGGCTATTAATAGCCCCATGACACGCTTGGCACATTCCTTTACTTATCAATCTAATAAATATTTGAATGTCTATGTGTCTGGCATTCTAGGTAAACAAGGCAGACACAAGCCCTCTCTTCGGGAGCTCAATGTCTAGCAGAGACAGTATACTCACATCCACCTCTCCCGGCTTATTGTGTGCCAAAGAACATGCACTGGAATCTTACAACAGTCCCACAAGTCAGGTACTGCTATCGTCATGCCTGCTCGGAGATCAGAAAAAAAATCAGGGAAAGGAGCCTGTTGTTTATTCCTTCACAGATCTTAGCAATTTGGTAAAATGGCTCTCTAAGAAACAGGTTCCAAATGGTATCTTTGTTGTGGGACAAGAGGCTGTCTTTTGGCTCCAGCTTGAGTTCAAACCTGTTTTGGCCAGTATATGCACTCTAGAGTTGATTATAATGCTCCCCTTATTTACCAAGAAGATAGGGGGAATGATGAATTTGGGGTTACTGGGACTGGGGAGCCATGTCAGTTTTTTGTTTTTTTTTTTCCCTGCACAGGAACCTCTTGCTGGGACTGATAAAGACGCATGGACTGCAGGTGGAGATGCATGGTGGAGCACTTGTTAGCATTCACCAGACCCTAGGTTTGGCTATAAGCAGCGCCGCAAAATAAACAAGACTCTAAACTGAGCCAGGACTTAATGCCTGCTCTGACTGAGCCCTGCAACATCTTTTGCTGGTCTGCCACTGTTTCTCTAGGTCTAGGGAAGCTAGACAATAGCCCTCCCTCCTCCCTAGGGAAAGTGTGGAGGTGCAAAGTCAATTTAAAAGCTCTCTTTTTGGAAGTCGTGAGGATCAGGAGCTTCGCCAAAGTGTTGCTGGGTTGATGAAGGTCGATCGCCAAAGAGCAAACGGATGGATTGACTGAGAGTGGAAGGAGGGCTGCGAGGAGGAGTTTTTCCAGTTACCAGGTACTCCTACCACCTACCTTTCACAAGCCTGTACTCGTTCCTCATTTGGTAAAAGCGGCTAAAATCCTTCCCCATTATCCTCTCAAGAGTGCAGAAGACATGAAAATCAGCGTTTGAATCATTTCCCAGGCCGAAAACACTTAGAGCGAAGCTGTTGCTCTTGGCCACACAGAGAGTAACGAACCCAAGCGGGAACCCTATTCCGACAGAGTCGCATTCCCAAGACCGCACTGGGATAGCCGGTAGTCCTCACGTCCGGGTGGGACATTCTACTCTCACATCACCCGCTTCTAATAATGGATGGTCTCCGCCCCCCACGCCCCACGCAGGGCGGCAGTGGGTCAGTCCATCGCCCTCCCCCCTCCCCGTTGTGGAGGTGGGTCAGTCCACCCAGTCCCCCAGTGCCCCGCAGGATGTGCAGAGTTTGTTCCGAGCTGCTACCGGCTCACCTTTGACCTTGCCTTTTCGCCACCGCCTGCGACTGCGGTTCTTCGACCCTTCTTTGGCCTGCTTGGAGGCCTGGGCCCCCACGATCCCCGACTCCACGGCTGGCTCCATCAATTCTTTCCAGTCCCGGCGCGGGGCCCAATTCCAGCGGTCGAGTCAATCCTCATTACACAATACCGCCGGGCCCCCAAACCATCCAATCCTGGGCTTGCTCCTCGCTAGGCCCCGCCTCCAGCGGGTGGGCCTGAAGGCCTTGGCCCGCCCATTCGCTCAAGTTAAAGGAACCGCAGCCAACCACAGCAGCGATGACAAAAAAATGCAACCCCGGAGGCGGTGAAAAGTGTCCACAGAGCCGAAATCGGGAGGAGTGGCGCTGGAGTCACCCCGACAGAGAAGGAGCGTCGCCGTCCCATTCACCTCTACATGAACTGGGCCCGCCCACCCGCCCCAGGAGTGGCAGGAACCTGCGGGCAGGGGGCGGGCCAGGCCCTCAGGCCACCTAAAGCGTGGGCGTGGCCGCGCTGGGGGCGTGGCCGCGCTGGGTAGCCGCTCGGTAGGGAAGCCCCGCCCCCTGCCCCCCCCCCCCCTCGGCTTGTTCCTCCCTTGATTTTGAGAAGGGGCTCTGCACACTGTAGCTGAGGTTGGCCTGGAACCCACCATGTAGCCTAGGCTGGCCCTGACCTCTCGGCAAAACAACCGCTGCCAGTCAGGCTGACTTTCCCTCACACATTCTCTCTCCCTGCTGGTTTTCATGGCTGTCTCTTGAGGTTTTTCCTCTCAGTCCTGTCCTCTTGCCCAGAATCGAAGGGATGGGGGTGGGAGGTGGGGTGGGCGTTGGGGAGAAGGGAACGTTCTGCGCCTGCCCAGCAGCCTGCGGCCTCAGGGTCGACCCGGTGAAAGGAGCCTCAGTTGAGGGAGGCCACATGCCCGGGGCGGGGAAAAGGCGGGAAACGGGGGACGCCCGAGGCTCCCTGCGGTCCGCTCGACCGCTTCTGGGCCAGCGCACGCCGGGGGCGCCTGGAACCCCGGGGCAGTGCTTCTCCCGCACACCTCGACCTGCTCCGGCCTTGGAGGAGGGGGGGAAAGACCCCCGCTGCCCGCCCGCCCGCAGGACTGTGACGTTTCGGTCAGGACCCGGCTCTATGGCGTTACCTGTCACCGCTTCAGAGGAGCATCAGGAAGAACGGAGCCTCGGCCGGCACCCTGCCATGCTGCTTCCATGCAGCCCCGGCTTGGCGGCCCTCTCCAGCCTCCTCTCCTAAGCCGCGGGACAGTCATCCCATGGCACTGAGCCCCTGTGCAGGCACCTGGCTGGGGAGCCAGTGTTCCTGGCGGCCGAGGCAAGACCTGCTGCTCTCGGCGCGGAGGCTGCGAATGCCCCGGATGCTGAGCTTGTCTACACCACTCCGGAAGGCGAGGCCCACACTGAGCATTGTACTGTTTGTTGTTGCTTAGCTTGATGTCTGCCCCACGGTTAGTAACCCGCCATTTATTCATTTATGGACTCATGAATGAATACTGGTAGGAGGGTGGTTTCTTTTACTTGACCCTTGAGTTAGGGCTCTTTCCTACCTCAGTTTGATTTCCTCCAATTTTTTTTTTTTTTTGGTGTGTGTGTGGTGGCGGGGGTAGGGTGTTGTTTCCAAACTGCAGGGCCTTGTGTAAAAATCATTTTTAGCCGGGCGGTGGTGGCGCAAGCCTTTAATCCCAGCACTCGGGAGGCAGAGGCAGGCGAATCTCTGTGAGTTTGAGGCCAGCCTAGGCTACCAAGTGAGCTCCAGGAAAGGCGCAAAGCTACACAGAGAAACCCTGTCTCGAAAAAAAACCAAAAAAAAAAAAATCATTTTTATGCCTCATCATCCCTCTCTACAGATTGGTGTGTGTGTGTGTGTGTGTGTGTGTGTGTTACTCTCTATTTAACACTATTGTTGAAAAATGACCCAAGTGTTATAACCCCAGATACAAAAAATTCTTAGCATGAATAAGTGACTGGCCCTGGAAGGCTCCAGTCTTCCAGGTTCAGGCTCACCTGTGTCCCAGTAGTGTTTGTGATTCTGGAGACTAGCTTTCATCCCATGTGGTGATTTCCCGCCATATCCTGGCAGCTTTTCACAATCAGGTTTCTTTTCGAAGGGTAGTAGCATTTCTGGGATCACTGTTCCACTCTTTGGCTCTGAAAGATTTGACTTTGAAGATGAACTCAGATGTTCCTCTGTGTCAGACACTGTAACCCAGTTAAAAAATGTCTTCCACTCATGGGCTGTGTGCTGTATGGATAGTTCATGTAGTTTTGTTAAAAACCCAGATTCCATCAAAGACCCCTGATTGGATTTGGCTTCTTGAACTAGAGGTGTTTGCTGGGCTGTAGGGTCTGACTGTTCAAGTCTCTCTTGGAATGAAGAGTGGGTCTCAGCAGGGGATTTCTTCTGGGGTCCAGGTGCAGCCTGGCTTGTAGATGTAGCCTCCACTTCATGTGGAGCTAGAGGTGGTTCTGCTGGTCCAGATCCTGTCATCCCCACATGTTCTTCTCTGAGTTGTGGTTCCTGTTGAGTTGTAGACACTTTTCCTGTCCCTGGTCCCCGGTGGGAGGTGGCTTCCTGTTGATCCAAGTGCACTTTCTGGCTGGGAGATGATTGCTGTGGTGCAGGGGAGGCTAATGGGGCAAGGATTTTCTGGAGCAGAGCAGATTTTTGTGGAACTCTTGGTACCTGCTGGAATTCAGCTTCATTCAGTTGGACAACGGGCTTCGGGGTATCAAATTCCTGCAGCATCTTTGCTCCTGGATGGTCTGTGAGGGTTGTTTCTGGCTCAGGATCTGGCTGGATTATAGATCTCTGCTGTGTCTCAGATTTCCATTCTGGCCTAGATGCTGAGGTAGAATCTGGCTCCGCAGTTGGTATTTCCCTTGTGAAAGAAGTTGGTCTCCTAGGCTTCATCCTTCTGCCCCTACCCCTCAGGCTTCCCTCTTCACAGATCTTTCATGATGGCATCTCCCTTTGGGCTCTAATCCTGCATCCTGGCATTCCTGGTCTTCCTTTATAGCTGGCCTGTTGGTTGATCACTGCCACCCCCTGCCCCTTCGATCCTTGCCAAGTGATTACTCTGTGCCTCTTACTTAGGGAGAGGGATTAGGACTAAGTAGGAGGCTCATGTGGCCTCTACTGTATAACAAGAAGGGAGGGGCTTGTCCTCTTGTGTCATAAATAGGTCCCCACCCCACTTACCACTCAGTTTAAATCACTACCTGTCTCATAAGGCAAACATCTTAACTTAGTCTTCTGTTTCATTTGGGATGATTCTAGATGGATGAGTGTTCTCTGTCCCCAGAGAGGGGAATCTCATGTAGCCCAGGCTGGCCTCAAGCTCCTGATCCTCTTGTCTCCATTTCCCAAGTTCTGTGACCAAAGGTGTGTACCACCATAGTTCAGTATTTTTCCCACTACTGATACCAGAAGAATACTTGAGGATTCTCTATATTTATAATAATAATTTCCTCTTCATTAATTCTCACAACTAGTTGCCAGTTGAATTGTCTTAGATTATTGCTCTGATCATTTTATATCTATGCTAAAAAGTAAAAAAAAAACCTGTGTCATCCTATTTTTGTAGGCTCAAAACCCTCTTGAATTGCAGCTGAGATTCTTCATATCATCTTTATAGCCTTGAACTGTGTTTCTACATTTATATCTCTTGTATTGCATTAGAAACCCACAGAATGCAGTAATAATGATGGGGATAATGATGATGGTAGGAATCATAAACACTGAAGGCTGTCTAGATCCTAAGAAACCAGAACTTGTAAACCTTTATTATTTTTAATCAGGCAGTATCTAATTCAGTGTTTTATCTGCTTTCTATGCCCCATCCAGATGATGTACCTTAGAATGAGTGAAAGAATAAAGAAGTAGGCAATGGAGAGAGAAAGAGGGTCAAGGAAGGAAAAGTGTGTGTAGAATCTGGGATGGGTTTCCAATGAACAGGGCAAAGGGTGACATGTGGATTGAATGTGAGTAAGTCAGACCCCATTTGATTGAAATAATTGATACTCATATCATACATTTGCATTATATATATATATATGCACTATTTATTTTATTTGCTAATTTCCTAATGGTCAAGTGAGACCAATAGGAGGCTCAGGTTTCCTTGATTCTTTTATGGTAAACAGAAGAGATAAGTGTCCTGGTACCAAACACCAGGAGCTAAACACCGAGATACTGCAGGGTAAAATTTATTCATGGCTGGGCATAACTTACAGTCCCCTCCTTGGGAGTAGGAGAATGTAAGCTGCAGCAGAGAGAATCTTATATGGGTCTTCCATGACCTCTGCAAGCAAGCAAAGCTTAAACAAAAGCAGAACTTTTTGCTGTTAGCATTTAGCACAAACACATTGTCCAAGCTTTTGAAATCATTGTGATTGGCCAGTTTCAGAAAGTCTGTCAAACTGACCTGGTTTCTCAGAAGGTCTTTGTAGTCTGTTGGTTAAAAAAAAAAATTGGAACATGAATCTTATTTCACCTAAGAAATAAAAGTACCAACATCAAGATTCTGGGAACAGACCTGGGAGCTGAATAAAAAGAGGAAGGGAGACTCTGTCATTTTAAATTATTTAACCCATATTGAAATCCATAGTGATGAGAGAAGATGGCAATAGAGAGCACAGTAGCCGATATGCTGGGCAGTGCCTTCTGAGAGCACTAGGATGCTTTTGGTGAGAATGGGGGTAGGGAGAACAAGAACATGCCCGAGGGTTGATCACCTCTTTTTCACTGAGAGTGTTCACTTGAAAGAGTAGAATCTCAGAACTATAAGGGCAGAGCAAAACTTGCTAGTTGACATCGTTTGAGAAATTGTTGGCAGGTTCTGGAGAGCTTGTTTGGCTTCCTGTGGTGCTTTTGGTGTCCTAGAGCACAAATAAAAGGGGATGCTGTCATCAAAAACTTACAAATACTTTGTTTTATTTTTATTTGTGTGTGTGTGTGTGTGTGTGTGTGTGTGTGTGTGTGTGTGTGTGTGTCCCTGAGTGGGTTAGAATAGAATTTCAGATCTCCTGGAGCTGGAGTTACAGGTGGTTGGGAGCCACCTGACAAGTGTACTGGGAACCAAACTACGGACCTCTGATTTTATTTCGAGACAGGGTTTCTCTGTGTAGCCCTGCTTGTTTGGGAACTCACTCTGTAGACCAGGCTGGCCTCAAATTCAGAGATCTGCCTGTCTCCGCCTCCTGAGTTCTGGGATTAAAGGCGTGTGCCACCACTGCTTGGCTACTCTGGTCCTCTGAAAGAGCAGCGAGTGCTTGTAACTGTTGCTCTGTCTCTCCAGCTCCTTTAAAAGCGTTGCAAAGTGCAAAGTTTAATTTTTATGTAAACTTTTGAAATTATGAGATGCGGCTGGCTGTGGTGGTGCATGCCCTCAATCTCCGCACTCAAGAGGCAGAGGTTGGTGGATCTCCGTGGGTTCAAGACCAGCCTGGTCTACAAAGTGAGAGATCTAGGACAGTCAGGGCAATATACAGAAACCTTGTCTTGAAAAACCAAACCAAGGGCAGGATGGCAGCACAAACCAGAATCAAAAAGCCAAACAAGAGTGGAAGAGATGGCTCACCAGGTAAGACATTTGCCAAACTTTATGACCTGAGTTCAATCCCAGAGACTGATACGGCAGAAAGAGAGAACCGACTCACAACTTTCTTCTCTGACCTCCACACATGTGATGCTATATGTAAACACACACACACACACACACACACACACACACACACACACACACACTCATACACACATGTACATTATAAATAAAATGATAATTTATAAAACAATGGTTTATTTGTGTGTATCTGTGGTGTGCATATATGTAGGGTTGCACTCATGCCATAGTAGAAATTTGGAAGCCGAGGGCATCTTGCAGGAGTCTGTTCTCTTTCTATCATGTGGGTCCCAGGGAATGAACTCAGCTCGTTAGATTTGGCTGTAAGCACCTTTACCTTCTGAGCCATCTTTTTGGCCCTTGATTTACTTTTTTGTATAATAACATTTTAAAACAGACTGTGGGGCTGGAGAGATGGCTCAGCGACTAAGAGCGTGAGTTTGCCCCTTTAGAGGCTCCAGGTTCAATTCCCAGCACTGGCATAGTGGTTCAAAGTCATCTGTAACTCCTGTCCCAGGAAATCTGATTCCCTTTTCTGCCTTCAGGGGCACTGCATGTAGGTAGTGCACTTAAATACATGCACGCAAAATACCCACATACATAAAATGAAAACAAACAAACAAAACAACCAACTGCCAGATGAAGGAAAAGCCCAAATCCTGTTCCACACTGACACTGGTGTCATCTTCAGATATCAACGGGCAGGTCACAGCCTCCCAGTTTCCTTTTACTTTGATAGTTTCAGAGTAAGTCTATCTTGATATTTTTGCTCTTTCTGTTTTTCCTACAAGCTGACATTGAATAGAAAGGGGCTGGCTGATGCCTGTCTTTATTTTGGTCTTCTCGGCCTTGCCTCCATCCCTAGTGAGCCCATAGGACTGAGTGTGGTTTAAGCAAGGCCATCCTCTTGAACTTACTGTGTTTTTTCTCACCGCCCTTGATATGATCACAGGGACACTGCTTCCTTCGTGGCTCCAGCACTGGTGTGGATTCTCTCTTTGGGGTTCTCAGGAACCAATCTGTAACAACAGGCTACTGCTTAGACAACAAGATTGGTATGTTTGAGAGTAGGATTTGGCAGGGCTTTTTGAGCACTCTGGTGCCTCTTTCTCACAGACTGGGGAAAAGGGTCAACAGGGAACAATGGAGACCTCAAGCTATGTGAACCCCAGGATTTCTATGTTGTTTCTGTGTGACCTCTGTGGGTAGGGATTTGCTGACATGTTTAGAGGGGACATTGGGATATCCCTGTGGAAACTGAAAAATGAAGAATTGAGGCCCAGATGTCTTTTTAGGGCTACATTTCTTCTGCTTTCAATCCTTCCTATAAGGAACATCAGGTTAAGACCAGGATCTAAGATGCTTTTAGGGAGCCAGGAAAAAGTAAAAACCTTCCAAGAAGGTACAGGGAATTTGGGAAAAGTGTTGGTGGGGGTGCACAAAGATCCTGGCAGGCATCTAGCTCTTGTCTGACTCAGGGAGAAAGCAGGCATTAGTGCTGCATCTGGTGGGAGGCTGAGGTTAGCTCAGACAACATCTGTCCTGGTCTCGGAGGGGCTCAAGGGAGATGAAGGTTTAGGGTCACAATGGCACCAACTCTGTGGTTAAGGCTGAATTACTGACCTCTGCATTCACATTCTTGGCCGCCTTCCTGGAGCCATCTTCTAGAAGCCTGGCGTTGGCCTCCATGGCTTCTGGCAACTCCTGTTGGAGGCAAACACATGTGGTTAACTTCCAGATACTGGAAAGGGAAAGCTCTCTGTGCTCCTATCCTCCAGTGTTGTGCTACCTGAGTACCTAGATCAACACAATCTCTGTTTGTATGTGTCTCTGTCTGTCTGTCCTACCTTCCACTGCTGAGCTGTAGGGAACTCCAAAAGAAGGATATTGTAAAATGGGTAAAGAACTGAGACTTAAAAATCTATCCTAAACCCTGGAGAGATGGCCCAGTGGTTAAAGGCACTTGCTGCTCTTGCAGAGAAAACCCAGATTTGAGTCCCGTCACCTATGTGGTGGCTTGCAATCATCTGCAATCATCTAGTGTCAGGGGATCCAGTGCCCTCTGCTGACTTCCACAGACACTCATGTACAAAGCAAAAATAAATCTTAAAAGAAAAAAAAAATCAGGCCCACTGAAAACCTTAGCTGAGAAAGTGAAGAAAATGGCTTCTGAATCTAAGGGAAGACATGATGGGGTTATTGGGACTGCAACCTCCACATCCCTCATTAAAATACTGGTAACTTAGGTGAGAGCAAGGAGCAGATAACTGTAAACCAAAATTTCCACCAGAACTCTAAGTTGATGTGTTTGAATCCACAATTCAATTGACTGTTAATAGAATGGTATTTGTGTTTGTTCCTCTGGGACAGACACATTGCATCCAAGCCTATGTTGTTATCTGATTCTGCCACCTCCATGTATTTGAGACAAGGTCTTGCTATGCAGCTCAATGTTCATCTGGCTCCTGGCCTTCAGTGATCCATCTGAATCTGCTTCCTGGTAGCTGTGATTATTGGTGCTTTCCACCAAGCCCACCCCTAAAATATTTCGATGGCAAGAGAAGATGAAGGTTTAAGGGCTGGTGATAGCTTAGCTGGGACCTGCTGCCAAGCTTGACAACCTGAGTTCCATCTTTGGGACTCATATGGTAGAAGAAGAATATTGGCTCCTGAGGTCTGTCTTCTGACTTTCACACATTTCCTGTGTGTGGCATGTGTACCCACCCACAGAAAAATACATTAATTAGATATAATAAATAATAATTAGATATAATAAATAATAAAATTTGTCTTAGGGTTTTTATTGCTGTGATAAAACACCATAAACTAAAAGCAACTTTGGAAAGAAAGGGTTTATTTCACCTTACAACTCTCAGGTCACTCTCTATCACTTCTTGAGGGAAGGCAAGGTAGGAACTCAAGGTTGGAACCTGGAGGTAGAAACTGATGCAGCTGTCATGGAGGAAAGGCTGCTTACTGACTTGTTCCTCCTGGCTTGCTCAGTTTGCTTTCTTATATATCCCAAGACTACCTGCCTAGGGGTCTCACTGCCTATAGTGAGCTGGGCCCTCCCACATCAATCATTAATCAAGAAAACACTCTACATCTTTCCTACTGGCCAATCTTAAGTAGGTATTTTCTCAACTGAGGTTTCTGCTTTTCAGATGACTTTAGTGTGGTGATATATTTTTGTAATCTAAGAAATAAAGCTAGCCTGAAGATCAGAGGACAGAGCCAGCCACAGAGTTAGCCACAGAGGTCAGGCAGTGGTGGCACACACCTTTAATCCTAGTACTCCGGAGGCAGAGATAGAGATCCGCCTGGATCTCTGTGAGTTCAAGGCTACCCTAGACTACATGAGATTAAGCCAGTCTAAAAGAAACAGAGCCAGGCAGTGGTGGCACACACCTTTAATCCCAGCATTTGAGATTGCATGCCTTTGCTACCAGCATTTGGGAAGCACACACACCATTAATCCCAGCAGTAGGAAGGTTGAGACAGAAAGTGATATGACTGGGCAGAGAAAGGCATATAAGGTGTGAGGAGACAGGAACCGAAAAGCCCTTTGGGCTGAGGACTCAGAGCATTCGGTCAGAAGATTCGTGGAGTTGTTGAGGTGAGAAGTGGCTATGGCTTGTTCCTTTGTCTCTCTGATCTTTACGTATTTACCCCAATATCTGGCTCCGGGTTTTTATTATAAGACCACTTAGAATTTGAGCAGCACCCTAGTTTGTGTCAAATTGACAACACACAACTAGGGCAAAATTATAAAAAAGATAAAGGCTTATAGATTTGAGAATCTCAAGCTAGAACTGGGCCCACATGACACCTCCTCTAATTTTAGTTGGCAATGTTTCCTGTTAAAACCAATAATGCCAGATTAGAAATATAGCTAAGTTTATGTGCTTGTCTGACATGTATGATACTCTGGATTTGATCCATAGCACCATGAAAACAATCAAATATGCCTACATATGTTTCTTACTGTGTTTAAACTATTCTTTCTTTGAGACAGGGTCTCCATATTATAGCTGGGGTTGGACCAGCTTCCACCTGATTCCCCAGCTTCCACCTCCACCAATGCCCAGCTCATTTTTGTTGTTATTTTTGGTTGGGAAAGGGTCTTGCTATGTGGTCCAGCTGTCTTTGAACCTTCAGCAATCTCTCTAACCCTGATTCCAATTGCTGGGATTATAGATGAGTACTGTGCTTGAATTATTCTTGTGTAATTTGTGACTTGAAATCTGTTATGGCCTAAATGCTATCCTCCCAAATTCACATACTAAAGATCTATCCTCTACTTCCTCAGAATGAGTATATTTGGAGATAGAGTTTTGAAAATGGCAATTAAGCTAAAATGATGCTTTTGTGGAGTTGTTTAATCCATTTTTATAAGAAAATGAGCCATTTTATAAGAAAAAGGTTGTGGTGGCACACACCTTTAATCCCAGCTCTAGGGAGGCAGAGGCAGGAGAATCTCTGTGGGTTCCAGGCCAGCCTTATCTACACTGTAAGTTCCAGGAGAGCCAGGACTACTCAGAGAAAACCTGTCCCTGTTTCAAACAAAATAAAACAAAAAGGCCTTAAGGATGTACACACAGAGGAAAAACCATGTGACTGATGATATGGCAAGACGCTAACAGAATATGTCTCCTTAAAGCCTCTGTGTTGGGGCTGAGGAGACAGGGTAGCAGTTAAGAGCACTTACTGCCATTGCAGAGGACCTGGGTTCGGGGCAGTTCATAACCTACTGTAACTCCAGTTCCAGGGGACCTGACTCCCTCTTCTGGCCTCCGGGGCACTGCATGCATGTGGTGCACATACCACATGTGGGCAAAGCATTCATATACATAAAATACAATAAATGAAACTTTAAAAAAAGCCTTCTATGTTGGAATTCTAGTCCCTAATGTGATTATATTAGGAAGTGGGGCCTTTGTGGGGTTAATTAGGTCATGAAGGTAGAACTCCCAGGAGTGGGACTTGTGTCCTTGTGGAAAGGGACTCCCGAGAACCCTTAATTTCCACTGTTTGAGAATTGTCTGCACACTGTGAGATGAATCTTACTTCAATTCAATCATGCCAAAACTCTGATCTCAGAAACCCTACTTTTGAAACTATGACAAATAAATTTCTGCTGGTTCTAAGCCATCCAGTCAACAGTGGGACTCTATCACAGTCTCAACTAAGATTGCAGCCATTTGTCAGCCAAAGACAGAGGCTTTAGAAGAGATTCAGACCTTCTGGTACCTCAGTCTTGGATTCCCAGTCTCCAGAAATGTGGGAAAATCAAATTTGTCCCTAAAGCCACTCCAACTGTGGTATCTTGTTATGACACTCCTAACAAATATAGACAAAACCTTTTTCCTGTAGTCAGAAGTTTCTCTGGTCCTGTCCCACCCCATGGCCAAGATGGATCTCTCCCACCTGCAACTGGCAGCTGCTTGGTCCCAAGTAAACACACAGAGGCTTATATTAATTATCAGCTGTATGGCCTATGGGTTAGACTTCTTGCTAGCTAACTAGCTATTATAACTTAACTCAACCCATTTCTATTAATCTATATGTAGCCATGTGGCCATGGCTTTACCAGTCTGTTGGCATGTTGCTCCTTGGTCAGCAGGCTGGCATCTCCTGGTTACTCTCCTTTCTTCTTCCTGTCTCTCTCTTGGATTTCCTGCCTGGCTATAACCTGACTTGCCATAGGCCAGAGCAGCTTCTGTATTAACCAATCATAGCAACACGTATTCACAGCATACCAAAAGACATCCCCACAGCATTCTCCTCCACTAACCTCAGAATCAGTGGTTCAGTACTGACAGAGGTCATTGCTCCTGACACATGGTAGGCATTTAATAAGTGTTTGTTCAGTAGGTGCATGGACAAGCGTTTGGAGAGGGCCTCCTTTAGAGATCATCTGGTTCAATTCAGGCCTCCTGCTCCCATCCTTGTGCCCTTTCTGCCACACAGATGGATGGTATTGCATCATTTCCCAGTGCTGTTTTCCAATGTCCTCATGTGCTGTTTTGAGCACTATTAAAATTAGATGGGCACAGCCTTTGCCTTCTATTTTTTTCTAGCATTTTCTCCTTGTGTGGCCTCTATTCCTCATTTCATCAAAAAGCCATAAAACATTAAAACCAGAAGAAATCTTGTAGATGATTTAGTTGGATCCCTAAAGATAGAAGTTTTTAAATTCTAAGTGATCACATTTAGATATGTAGAAATGGTAACCCAATTGGAGAAAAAATTTGAAAGTACGATAAACTTCATCATCATCATCATCATCATCATCATCATCATCATCATCATAATTCTGAGGTAAGGTCTCTTGTAGTTCAGGATAGTCTTGAACTTACTATAGAAGTGAGGATGACATTGAACTCCAGATCCTTCTGTTTCTATCTCCCAAGTGCTAGAATTACAGGTGAGTGGTGTGATGCCCTGCTCAAGAACACATTATTTTTTATTTAATTTTAATTTTTTAAGATGTATTTTATTTTTTGTGTATGAGTATTTTGCCTGCATGTATGTATGTGCACCACTTACATGCCTGGTGCCCTTGGAGTCTAGAAGAGATCCTTGGATCCTCTGGAACTGTTATGGATGGTTGTGAGCCGCCATGTGAGTGCTGGGAATCAGTTCTGATTCCTCTGCAGGAGCAGTCAGGTCTTTTAACTATGGAGCCATCCCTTCAGCCCCAACTTGTACCAATCTTTATGTTTATTTACTTCTTAATTTTCCTCTAAATTTATTTTACAAAGCAGTCTCACTTTGTGTGGAATTATAAATTTAGTATATTCTTAGTATGCTTGTCTTTACTCCCCTCTCCTCCTCTTTCTCTTTGTTTCTGTCTTGTTGAGTAGCCCGGATTAGTCTAGCAGACCATACTGAGATACTTTCTTTTCTAATGGGTTAAAATAAGCATGTTATTATTAAGGATATTAAAAGCAAATTTATGTTTCATCAAAAATTAGTCTTGGTTAATGCTTGCCCAGTGGACTTTCTATCCAGATAGACCTGGGGCTTCCCACTGGCTCTGTCACTTAACTGTATGATGTATACTTCTTGGATCTGTGAGTCTCTGACTTGCAAAATAAGGATAAGTAATGCCCAGCTTGCTGAAGAATAAATTAATTACTGTGAATGTCCTGTGTCCAGACCTATGTTCAGGACATGAGTGTTATTATGGTTGTTACTGAGGACTACTAGTTGTTTTCTTCCTTCCTTCCCTTCCCTCTCTTCCACATCTCTCTACCCCTTTGCCCCATGTAGTTCAGGTTGACCTCAAACTTGATAAATAGCTGAGGATAACCTTGAACTCTTAACCTTTCTACCTCAGCCTCTGGGTGCTGGGATTTCAGGCATGTGTCAACATACCTGGCTTCTAGTTGTTTTCTGAAGACAGTGAATCTCTCATTAGCTCCTGGCTTTGTACTGGCAGGCTCAGCAAAAGTTAATTCTACTTGTTAAGACACTACCAAATCTGTCTTCCTCTTCAATCTCCTTTTCCTCCAGACAGGGTCTCATTATGTAGCCCTCCTTGCCTGCAGCTTTCTGTGTAGACCTGGCTGGTCTTGAACTTGCAGAGATCTCCTTGCCTTTGCCTCCCACATACTGGGATTACAAGTATGTGCCACCATGCTAAGCTGATATATCATTATTTTGATTTGCCAGGTCTACCACATATTTACTTTGTGATTTTTTTAAAAGATAGGTTGCTTAACTTGCTGTAATTTGTAAAATATGGCTAATAGTATGTGTGTGCTGTTTCCCATCTCTGTCTTCCTCCAGAAGGGCTACATAGAAGCAACAGCTCCTCCTAGCAAAGGACATGTTTTAGCACCCATGACAAGAACCAGGGATTCTTGGAAATAGCTGATTCCAGGGAGCAGGAAAGTATAAGACAAGCCTGAAACCTCTTGTGTCAGAAAGTAAGGAACTGCCAAAAAAAAAAATAATGAAGACATTAAAAAAAGACTATGGAAACCAACCTGAAGGACAATGTGAATAACATAATAAATGATGGTAGTAGTGGGTTACCTATGAGTTTCTGAGTCTATACAGGTAAAAACAAGTAGGTGAAAGGAAGAAGGCCTGAAGTCCTGGAGAGATGGGTCAGTGTTTATAAGCCCTTACTTCTCTTCCAGAGGACGTGAGTTCAGTTCCTAGCTCCCACATCAGGTGGCTCATAACTGCCTTTAATTTTACCTCTAGGGATCTGACATTTTCTCTGGCCTCCATAGACACAGGCACACATAAATAAAAATAAAAATAAATCTTAAAAAGTAAATAAAAGGTGGCACATGCCTTTAATCACAGCACTTGGGAGGCAGAGGCAGGTGGATCTCTGTGAGTTCAAGGCCAGCCTGGGCTACAGGGTGAGTTCTAGGACAGGCTCCAAAGCTACACAGAGAAACCCTGTCTCAAAAAACCAAAATAAATAAATAAATAAATGAATGAATAACTAAAAGGAAGAGCCTTTTCTGTTTTCTAAGATTTATTTTTATTATTTATGCATATGTATGTGTATGTGTGTGCATATATGAATGTAGGTGTAAGCATTCCCATAGGAATAGCACTTAGTAACTATTAGTTAAGTGCTTAGGTTTCTAAGTTCACAGTGATTCTATGGCTCTATGCCAGGGTATGATGGTGTTTTTTCTTGTTGCAGCTAGTGTGTGTATATATGTGTGTATCAGTGGGGATTAGACATAGAATCCCATATATGCTGTGATAGTTTCAATGTAATTGGCCCCCATAAACTCATAGGGAGTGGCACTATTAGGAGGTGTGGCTTTGTTGGAGTGGGTGTGGCTTTGTTGAAGGAAGTGTGTCACTGGGGCAGGCTTTGAGGTCTCATATATACTCAAGCCACACCCAGTGTCTCAGAGCACTTCCTGTTGCCCTTGGGTCAAGATGTAGGACTCTCATCTCCTTCTCCAGCACCATGTCTGCCTGCATACCACCGTGTCTTGCCATGATGATAATTGACCAAACCTCTGAAACTGTAAGCCAGCCCCAATTAAATATTTCCCTATTTCCCTTTATAAGAGTTGCCATGGCCATGGTGTCTCTTCACAGCAATAGAAATCCTAACTGAGACACATTCTAAGCAAGCACCGTGTCACTGAGTTACAGTCCTGCCCCTATTCTTGTTTTGTTTTGTTTCTTAGTTTCCCAGGCTTGCCTTAACTTGTAATCTTCTTGCCTCAGCCTCCCAAACAGCTGGATTTACAGTCCCAAACTTTCTACTTAAGTCTGGTGCTGAACAATTCTTTACTGTGTAGACCTCTATCCACTAACCACCAATAGCAAACCTTCAGTTGAGAAAGCTAAAAATACCATACCCCTGCAAGGGACCACTCAAAGTTGATAAACACAGCTCTACAGCAACATTTACAAGCCTGGATCCACATTTAAACTCCCCCAGACACATGCCTTGAACTTGCCATTTGCTTTGCAACCTTGAAAGTAGTTAAAGTCATGTAACTTCTTTGAGTCTCCAGATGGCGCTGTCACAAACCACATGGGCTTTTCCAAACCAAAAAGTTTCACAATGTTCACATAGGTCTGAGCCAATTAGAAAATGACCATACATAATCTCTAAATCAATTCTCAAAATAAAAATTTATCTTACAAGCTAGAGTGTTGGCTCGGTGGTTAAGACTGCAGATGCCACCTTTACCAGCATGGTCACTGGTAAGGAGCAAGAAAGGCACTTGGGACTTGGGACTTTTTTCCATGTGCTGTGCTGGGAAGGACACATTACTTTTGTGATGCTTTACATTTTAAATTATCATTTGTGTACATGGTGTGGATGGGGGAGGTGTGACTGCCATAGCACATGTGTGGAGCTTAGAGGAGAACTTTGTGGAGTAGTCTGTTCTTCCCTTCCACTTTTATGTAGGTTCTGGGTATCAAACTCAGGTTACCAGACTTCAACTGAGGCCCCTTGCCAGCCCTTCTGTGATATCTGTGCACAAAGTGAATAAGCAGAACTTAATCATGAGGAAACACTGGAAAAACCCGTACTGAGGTCATTCTACTTTCCAGTACTCTTACAAAATATACCAAGAACTCCTGGGAAGGAGGGGGAAAGACTTAGAAGCCATGGCAGCTTGGAGGACACCAAGGTGTCATGACAGCTTTATTCACTGTGAGTTCTGAAGTGGTCTTTGTACTAGGAAAAGGATGTTAGTGGAATAATTAGGACACTGAATATTTGAGGAATTAGCCAATGTTACTGTGTCAATGACACTTTCCTGTTTTTTAAAATTTTGATTTTCTGTGTGTGGGTGTTTTGCCTGCATGTACATCTGTGAACCACTGGTGTGTCTGGCGACTGAAGAGGCCAGAAGAGGGCATCAGATGCCCCAGAACTGGAGTTACAGACATCTGTAAGCCACTATCAAGATGCTAGGATTTGGACCCAAGTTCTCTGAAAGAGCAGACAGTGATTTTAACCACGGAACTATCTCTTCAGCCCCTTTTGTTTTTAAAGATTTATTTTTATTTTATGTATATGAGTCTTTCATGTATGACTATGCACTGTTATGTATGTAGTGTCCACAGAGGTCAGATCCCCTGGGACTGGAGTTACACAGAGTTGTGAGCAACCACATGGGTGCAGGGA